GACCTTTGTTGACAAAATAATGTCTCTGCTTTTTAATATGTTGTTTAGGTTGGTCATAACTTTCCTTCCAAGGAGTAAGCATCTCTTAATTTCATGGCTGCAATCACCATCTGCAGTGATTTTTGGAGCCCCCCAAAAATAAATCAGCCACTGTTTCCTGATCTATTTGCCATGAAGCAATAGGAACAGATGCCATGATCTTAGTTTTCTGAATGTTGAGCTTTAAGCCAACTTTTTCACTCTCCTCTTTCACTTTCATCAAGAGGCTTTTTAGTTCTTCACTTTCTGCCATAAGGATGGTGTCATCTGCATATCTGAGGTTACTGATAATTCTCCCAATAATAATAACAATAATAATAGGAGACTTTAAAACCACACTCACACCAATGGACAGATCATCAAAACAGATAATTAATTAAGGAAACACAGGTCTTAAATGATACACTATATGAGATGGATCTCATTGATATCTTTAGGACATTCCATTCAAATGCAGAAGAATACATCTTCTCAAGTGCACATGGAACATTCTCCAGGATAGATCACATCTAGGGTCACAAATCAAACCTCAGTAAATTTCATAAAACTGGAATTGTGTCAAACATCTTCTCTGAAGACAATGCTATAAAAGTAGGCATCAATTACAAGAGAAAACCTGTATAAAATACAAACACATGGAGATTAAATAGTACATTTCTAAATAACCAATACTTTACTGAAGAAATCAAAAGGGAAATTTAAAGAAAAATGTCTATAAACAAATGACAAGGAAAAGACAACAACTCAAAACCTATGCAGCAAAAGGAGTTCTAAGAGGGAAGTTTATAGCAATGCAAACCTACCTCAAGAAACAAGAAAAACATTGAACAGACAACCTAACTATATACCTGAAACAACTGTAGAAAAAAGAATAATAAGTCTCAAAATTAGTAGAAGGAAAGAAATCATAAAAACTGAGCATAAATAAATGAAAATTAAATGAAAGCAACAATGGTAAAGACTAATAAAACTAAAAGCTGGTTCTTTGAGAAGATAAACAATAGTGACAAACCTTTAGCCAGATTCATCAAGAAAAAAAGAGAGAAGAATCAAGTCAACAAAATTAGAAATGAAAAAGGAGAGGTTAAAACAGACAACACAGAAACACAAAGGATTGCGAAAGACTATTATGAACAACTATATGGCAATAAAATTGATAAGCTGGAAGAAATGGACGGGCTCTTAGAAAAGTTCAATCTTCCAAGACTGAACCAGGAAGAAATAGGAATTACGAACAACCCAATTACAAGCACTGAAATTGAAGTTGTTATCAAAAATCTCCCAAAAAACAAAAGCCCAGGACCAGATGGCTTCACAGAATTATATCAAACATTTAGAAAAGAGCTAATGCCTATCCTAAAACTCTCTCAAAAAACTGCAGAAAACACTTCCAAAGTCATCCTATGAGGCCACCATCAGACTGATACCAAAACCAGACAAAGACAACATGCAAAAAAAGAAAACTACATGCCAATATCAATGATGAAGATAAATGCAAAAATCCTCAACAAAATGTTAGGAAACAGAATTCAGTAAGACATCGAAAAGCTCATACACCATGATCAGACTGGGTTTATTCTAGGGATGCAAGAATTCTTCAGTTCAGTTCAGTTCAATTCGGTCGCTCAGTGGTGTCCAACTCTTTGTGACCTCATGGACTGCAGTACACTAGGCTTTCCTGTCCTTTACCATCTCCCTGAGCTTGCTCAAACTCATGTCCATTGATTCGGTGATGCCATCCAACTATCTCATTCTCTGTCATCCCATTCTCCTCCTGCCTTCTTTGTTCCCCAGCATCAGGGTCCTTTACAATGAGTTGCCTCTTTACCGCAGGTGGTCACAGTATTGGAGCTTCAGCTTCAGTATCAGTCTTTCCAATGAATATTCAGGATTGATTTCCTTTAGTATTGACTGGTTGAATCTCCTTGCAGTCCAAGGGACTCTCAAGAGTCTTCTCAAGGACCACAGTTTAAAAGCATCAATTCTTTGGGGTTCAGCCTTATTTATGTCCCAGCTCTCACATCCATACATATCATCCTATGAGGCCACCATCAGACTGATACCAAAACCAGACAAAGACAACATGCAAAAAAAGAAAACTACATGCCAATATCAATGATGAAGATAAATGCAAAAATCCTCAACAAAATGTTAGGAAACAGAATTCAGTAAGACATCGAAAAGCTCATACACCATGATCAGACTGGGTTTATTCTAGGGATGCAAGAAT